CTTATAATTTTATTGTTGAAAAATAACTCATTTTATGTCTATGAAAAATGAGTAACTTTAAAAATTAAATCCACCACTTCTGGGAGTTATACTAGTTCTTTTATCTTATTGAAATAGAAGCATTTTAAATGATTCTTGTGTCTAATAGAGAATACACTATTTTTCTCTTTTTAATTTTATTTTTAGTAGACATTGACAAATTATGATTGAATGTGTTTCTGGGTATAAAGTGATAGTATGACCTATACAATGTGGAACTTTTTTTTTTTGGTGGAACCAGGGATTGAACTCAGGCCCTTGTATTTGCCAGGGAAGCGCTTATTCCACTGAGTCATCTCCCCAGCCCCACAATGTGGAACTTTAAAAAATCATTTATTTATTTATTTGGTACAGGGTTTTGTTGGACTGTAGTGATCCTCCTGTCTCAGCCTATTTTCACTCTCCCCAGTGCTGGAATTATAGGCATGTGCCACCATGCCTGGTTTTGGGGCTGGCATGGTGCACCTGGGGTTAAGGGGGTGTTCCGAAGCCAGCATAGCATGTGATACTGGGGATTGAGCCTGGGTCCTTGTGCTTGCCAGGCAGGTGCTCAGACTGCTGAGCTATCTCCCCAGCCAGCCCCAAATTTGAGGTAATTAATGTATAATGTATTTATTACCTCAAATCTGTACCATTTATTCCTCCTGCTTGAGCTTTGCACCCTTTGACCTGTATCCTTCCATTCCTTCTATTGCCACCATTCTGTATTTGCTTCTCTGTTTGATTGTTTTAGGTTCAGTGTGTAAGTGAGAACATGTGGTTGTTGTCTTTCTATGCCTCGCTTGCTTTACTTAATATGTCTTTCAAATTCATCTTTTTTTTTTTTTTTTTTTTTTTTTAATGTATTTAGTACACGGTCTACAGGGTCTCACTATGTAGATGGGACTTGTAGTGTTTCTCCTATTTTCAACCTCCCGAGTGCTGGGATTACAGGCGTGCACCACCACACCCAGTCTCTCTGTTTTTTTCTTTTTGTCTGACTATGTAGTCCAAGATGGCATTGAACTCACTGTGTAGTATAGCCTGGCCTTGAACTCACATTGATCGTTCTGCCTCAGCCTCCCAAGTGTTAGGATTACAGGCGTGCACCTTCATGCCTAGCTCATCTGTGTCATTTGTTTTATTTTAATTTAACAATTTATTTATTTATTTGTTATAGGGTCTTGCTATGCAGTTCAGACTCATAGTGATCCTCCTGCTTCAGCCTCCCCAGCACTGGGATTTTTTTTTTTTTATTTTTTTTTTTTTAATTTATTTGAGAGAGAGAGAGAGAGAGAGAGAGAGAGAGAGAGAGAGAGAGTGTGTGGTGTGTGTGCGTGGCCAGCTCAGCCCACCAGGGGGCGGGGCTGGCTGGCATGTGGTGCTGGGGGATCGAACCGCGGTCCCTGATGCTTTGCTAAGCTTGTTCTAAGTAGGTGCTTTAGACCACTGAGCCATCTCTCCAGCCCCCAGCACTGGGATTATAGGCATGCACATGGCATGCCTGGGGTTCCGGTGTTGGCACGGTGTGTTGTGTGGTACTGGGGATCAAACTCGGATCCTTGCACTTGCCAGCAGGCATTTAGACTACCGAGCTATCTACCCAGCCACATCTGTGTTGTTTTAAATGATAAGACTTTCCTTCTTTGCAACGTTCTGATCTCAAATTTATGTGTATCCACAGAAGTTGGATGGCTGGTCAGATGGTAACTGATTGTAGTTTCTGAGGCCTCACTGCACTGTTTTCTGTGGTGCAGTTTGGGTTTCCTCCAGCAGTGTCCTGGTTCTGCTTTTCTGCATCCCTCACAGTGGTTGGCCACTGTGTCTTTATGATAATTAATAGGTGTGAGGTGACTGTAGTTTTAATAAGAGAATGTACTGTTTAAGGTAGGTGCTGTGTGGCTTGTTGGTTTTTATCATTCTTAACTTTGGAAACATTTAAACCTCTAAAAATAAACAGAATCAAATGGTGAACACGCATCTCTAACCTTTATCACAGACTGCATGGCCAGTCCTGCTTCATATGTACTGCTGCTTACTTCCCTTGATCCTGTATTATTTTAACTTTTTTGTGTGTGGCTGGCTCAGCCTGCCCTTTGGGGCGGGGCTGGCATGGCATGTGGTATTGGGGATTGAACCATGGTCCCTGCGCTTTGCCTAAGCTTGCCTAAGCAGGCGATTTAGACTACTGAGCTGTCTCGCCAGCCCAATTCTATACTATTTTATTTTTTAAAAAAATTTTTATTTTATTTTTGTGTGTGTGTGTGTGGCCAGCTCAGCCTACCAGGGGGCGGGGCTGTCTGGCATGTGGTGCTGGGGGATTGAACCGCGGTCCCTGTGCTTTTCTAAGCTTGTTCTAAGTAGGTACTTTAGACCACTGAGCCATCTCACCAGTCCCTCCTATACTATTTTAAATGAAGAAAATCCTCAACCTCATTTTATCCATAAATAATTTCAGGTGTGCATTGATAAAAGATACAGAATTAAAAAATTTTTTTGAAGATTGTGATAAAAAACACATTAAATTTGTCCTCTCAACCATTTTTATTATTTATTTTGTTGATACAAGGTTTTGCTGTGTAGTGCAGGCTGGCCTTGAATTCACTTATGTAGCCCAGGCTATCCTTGAACTCATGATGATCTTTCTGTCTCAGCCTCCTGTGTGCTGGGATTAGAAGTATGCGCCACCATACTTGGCTTCTCAACCTTTTTTTTTGGTACTGGGGATCGAACTCAGGACCTTGCACTTACCATATAGACACTTAAGCTGCTGAGCTATCTCTCCGGCCCGCACCCATTTTTATGTGTACAGTTCAGTAGAGTTAACTACATTCTCAGTGTGTTTAACACCACGGGCTATCCCCCGTACACTTAGAAAAGTGAAATGCAGGGGCCAGGGAGATGGCTCAGTAGAATAACCACTTGCATGGCAAGTGCAAGGGCCTGAGTTCAATCCCCGGCTCCACCAAAAAAAAAAAAAATTGATATAGACATATGAAATCCAAAAAGTATTAAAAAGATGAAACACTTTTTGGAAAAAAAAAAAAAGAAAAGTGAAATGCTATTCTGTCCACAATTAGCATGTTTAAGTAACTTGTGTTAGTGAAGTTATACTATTTTGTCCTTTTGTTTGTGTGTGTGTGTGTGTGTGTGTGTGTGTGGCCAGCTCATATTTTGTCCTTTTGAAACTATCTTATTGCTCTTAGTATAATGTGCTCAGTGGTCTCTTTGTTGTAGCATGTGTCAGAATTTTCTTTTTTTGTTTTTCTTTCTTTTTTTTTTTTTAGTACTGGGAATTGAAGTCAGGGCCTTGTGCTTGCCAGGCAGGTACATATGCTGCTGAACTATATCCCTGGCCCAGAATTTTTTTCTTTTTAAAAGCTAAATATAGTTGGATGTAGTGCACACCTATAATCCTAGCACTTGGGAGGATGAGGCAGGAGAATCACTGGGAATTCAAGGTCAAGCTGGGCTGCATAGTGAGTTCAAGGATAGCCTGAACTCCATTGTGAGACCCTGTTTCAAAACAAAACAACAAATAAAAGCTAAATATTGTTCTGCTGCATAAGTGTATCACATTTTGTTTATTCATCCATCATCAGTGGGTATTAGAGTTATGTTAATGTATAATTCTTTTTGTTTTTTAATTTTGTTTTATTTATTTATTTATTTTTGGTGGAACCGGGGATTGAACTCAGACCTTTTTTTTTTTTTTTTTGGTGGAACCAGGGATTGAACTCAGACCCTTGCGCTTGCCAGGGAAGCGATTATTTCACTGAGCCATCTCCCCGGCCCCCCTGAACTCAGACCCTTAATGCTTGCCAGGCAAGTACTTATTCTACTGAGCTGTCTCCCCGGCCCCTTTATTTTGTTTTTTTTAAGAATGTTTTTAGTACAGGGTTTACAGGGTCTCACTGCACAAATCAGACTCGCAGTGATCCTGCTGTTTTTAGCCTCTCAAGCACTGGGATTACAGGTGTGCACTGCCACGCCCAGTCTCATTTGCCATCTCAGTGCACCCTCGGGGCAGGGCCGGCATGGCACATGGGGGATCGAATCCCAGGCCCTGTGCCTGCCTGAGCAGGTGCTTTAGTCTGCTGAGCTATCTGGCCAGCCCTGTTAATGTATAATCTTTTTTTTTTTTTTGTGGAACCAGGGATTGAACTCAGACCCTTGCCGCTTGCCAGGGAAGCGCTTATTCCACTGAGCCATCTCCCCGGCCCTCTACTGTATAATCTTTATTAAATGTGGAACCATACCAGTATTGTGTTTTTAACAATAATCACTGGGCGTGGTAGCTCATGCTTATAATCCAGCACCCTGGAGAGTGAGGCAGGAGGATCTTTGTGAGGCCAGCCTGGGCTACATAGTGAGATCTTGACTCAAAAAGAAAAAAAAATCTTGAATTGATCAAATGCCTAGTTAGTTTCACATTTCCAGTTGTCTCATAAGTGTCTTAAGTATTTTTGTTTTGCTTTTGCAACTAATGTTATTAGGTTGAAACAGACTTGTATAACTTTTGACCTGTTTTGTTGTTTCTCTCATGTAGAATCTGGTTTAGAATCTGTTCCGCTGGGCTCTCTGCCAAGTGTCTTGGATGGTGCCGGTGCTCAGGGCAGCCCTGTTGTGGATCATTGTGGCCAGGTGTCTCCAGAGGCCACCAGTGTGGCTTCGCCCAGCGCGGAGGACCTTGTCCATCACCTGGTCAGTGGCTCCACATTCTTCCCTGTGGAAGGTTGATGGGGGCTGGAAGCCTGGGACTGAGCTGAGAGACTCTCCTTTGACAGGTCTCGGTTCTGGTTCTGAGGGTGAAGGAGGTGTCCTTTGGGATTGAGGTGCGTGGTGAGGACTTGACTGTAGCCTTGCAAGCAGAAGAACTGACCCTGCAGCAGCCGGGCACCGTGGCCCTCTGGAAGTTCCTGCATGGACAGTGCCCTGGTAAGGATGGTGGCTACTCTGAGAGGGCTGGCAGGACTTCCTTAAGGCACCCAGAGTTTCACTGGCACCTGGATCCTGTGGCAGCTACTTTAGTGCCAAGCTCTAGGCCCTTTTCTCCAGCAGCCATTAACAGGAAGATGAACTCTACTGTAACCTCGGTCTTGCAAGGAGCTTCCTGTACCCTTTCTGGGGCTGTGTTCCCTGGGCTTGTCTCCATCCTCTCTGCCTCAGTATGCTGTAATCTTGTCTAAGATCCTCACAACCCAATCTTAGAGTATTTCCATTGCCCAGAATATCCCCACATCCGTTACACTAGTGACTTCTTTAGTCTATTTGGAATAGACATCTAGGTTTTTGCAGGTTTTTTTTTTTTTGCTATTTCAACTAGGATTGCTGTGAACCTCCTTGTACATGTCTCCTGCTTCAGGCATTTCTCCAGGGTTATATTCCTGAGGATGTATTTCTAGCTCATTAGTGTAGGTATAGCTTTACTTTACTGATAATGCCAAAATCTTCACCAAAATGGTTGTATCAACCTGCAGCTCCATAAATATGCAAATTGTTCCATTTCCTTGGCCAAAGCTGAGATTATTCTTTATGGACTTTTGGGGAAAAGTGGCTTGGTTTCATCACAGAGAGAAGACCAAGACTTAAAGCCACAGACATTGAGATGTAGTGGGTTGATGGTCCTGAGCTTGAGGAGCTGTCCTTGGGCCAGTGTGTAGAGTTCACAGTAAGGCTGCTGCTAGTTGTTTGTTCCCTCTCTTGCACCTGCAGCGAGGTTACAGTGAAGCACCTAAACGCACAAACTTTGCGGTCAGGCCGTGTGGGCTCAGGATCTTACTAACTGTGTGATTTTTTGGCAAGTGATTCTTGGTGACTGTTCACCTAAAGGATGGGAAAGGTGATAGTCCGCTAGGCAGAGGTTTTTTGTGAATATTAAAGGCATGATAAGTGCTTAGAATTTTCCCTGGATTAATTACTGAACGTATCTTCCTTGTCTTTCATATCCAAGCTCCAACCCTCCAAGAATCCTCAAATGTGCAGACTGACCGCATCCGCCCAGCTGTGGGCCTTCGCTTCGAGGTGGGGCCTGGTGCAGCTGTTCATTCTCCCCTGGCCACACAAAATGGCTTCCTGCATTTTGTGCTTCATGGCTGTGACCTTGAGCTGCTCACTTCGGTGCTTAATGGCCTGGGCCCCTTCCTGGAGGATGAGGAAGTTCCAGTGGTTGTGCCCATGCAGATTGAGCTCCTGAACTCCAGGGTCACCCTGAAGGTGAGAGGCAGCTATAGCTTTTGCACTGGGTTCTGTCAGGTAAAGAACTCTTCCCTCATCGGTGCAGCAAGGATGAAGTGAGGACATGCATCTTAGCACCCCCTGTGTGCTCGTTGTGTATAACGTGTGTTCAGGAGCCAAGACCGGGTCTCTAGCCTTAGCTGGTCCTCTGCATGCATTATCTTTTTTTGTTTTGCAGAACCGGGGTTTGAACTCAGGCCCCTGCACTTGCCGGGCAAGCACTTATTCTACTGAGCCATCTCCCCGGCCCCTCCACATGCATTATCTAATCCTCAGTTTTGTCATCTTTGGAATGCAAGAATGTGTGTAGAACCAGAGGCATTAAACTGTGGGTAGTTGGATGGTATAAGCATGGTCATGTTGGTTGGGAGCCTGACACAGCTTTCCTTTCCTGCAGGATGACATCCCCCCCATCTACCCGACGTCTCCAGGCCCCATCCCCATCACGCTGGCCATGGGACATGTTGTGCTGACGCGCAGTGATGATGGTGTCTTCCATATCAGCGGTGAGTTGGACTCGTCGCTCCCTGGCTTCTTTGCCTTTTTCCTGTGATAACTGAGTTAGTGACAGCTAGGAACTGTGTGGCTGTTGGCAGCAATTGACACTTAACACCTCTGCGCTTTTCCTCCAGCTGTTGCTCAGGACAGAGCACCCACTGAAGTACCTAAAAGTGAGAAGAGGCAGCCCCCCAAAGAACAGGTGTTGCTGGCGCCTCGTGGAGAGGCTTTTGGACAGCAGGTAGGGACCTAACTGAACCGTGACTTCCCATAAGCCCTTCACAGCTGGGACTGTGTCTGTGGTCATGGGTCAGCCCTGAGGGAGTTATGCTCTTAGAAAAGAGGTGGTTGAGCTGTCTTGCTCATTGACCCAATCTGTGAGTTTTTCTGTGTGGATTCTCCCCCTTGTTCCCCTTTCTGGTAATTGTTGCAAGATGGCATTGCCATGTTCATTAACTGTAAACTCCTTGTTCCTCAGGTGAAAGAACTGTCTGCCCTTCAAAAAGAACTTATAGAAACGAAGCAAGCATTGGCCAGTGCTAAGCAGGAGAAAGAAAAACTTCTTGAGGAGATAAGGAGATATAACCCCCTCTTCGAGCTTTGATAGTCGTGCTCAGCTGTCTGTGCCGAGGAGAGGGCGACCACCAGCAGCGGCACTGGGATGGAAGGTGCCATCCAGCGTGGACTGAGCCACCACGGAGGCCCGAGGGACCAGGCGTGCTTTCTCCTGGCTGTTAGAACTTAGAAGGAGGACAAGGCAGAGCGTGGCCACATCCCAGGGAAAGCGCAGTAGCTTTGTGTGTGATTCAAGCGGAGCGTTTGGCCCTCCGGGTCCTAGGCGGAATCTTCTCCACAGCACGGGGCCATTTCACCTCCTGGCTTCATCGCCGAGAGATTTGCTTCCTTCGCAGCCTGTTGGAACAAGTCACAGTATTCCCCTGCCCACTCACAGATCCACCAAAGAGTCCCAGAGCTTCCTGAAGCAGACCTGCAGAGGTCTTGGTCTGAGCTCTGGCCCTGCAAGTTGAATAGGACAGGAAATAGGTCAGCAAACGTGGGGTGAGGAAGCCCTGGCCTCGAGTTTGGGAACCGGAGCCGGGCTCCAGTCTTGGCTCACACTACCGCTGCTTGTCAGGGTCTAGCGTGCTGTCAGTGGGAATTTCATCACTGCGATGCTGTCATAGGAGGTAAAGAGCCATACCATCTTTCCTCTCTCTACATAATTTATTTGGAATTAAAAATAAAGAAGAAATACTTGCTCTGAGCTAGGTTGCAGGCATGATGTGGTAGGGGATTGGTGTAATGGACCTTGATGGTGAGCCCCTTGACTTCTGCCCTCTGCCGCAGCTGCCAGGTCTCTTCCTGGGTCTCCCTGGGGTCCCTGCTCATCTGCTTCCCAGCGCTGGGACTTCCTACCGGTGCTCTCCGCAGTACTTGGTAGCGTGGCAGCTGAATGTGTGTTTCTTACACTTGAATATCTAGATCTTGACCTGTTGCCTCTCACTCCCCCGTTACTGTGGGTTTTTAAAATCATGTGATTTTAACCTAAGGAAGAGGCAAAACCAGAACAAAACCCTTCAGCCCATTTAGGTTGGCCTTCCTCACCTATAAATGTGCTGTTTCTCCCATTTTGTTCTTAATTCTCCAGAATTCTGCCTTTCCCCATACTGCTTTATGGTGCGCCTGCAGCTGTGCCAACTGGGCAGGAGTTCATCAGCTAACTTGCCTTGACTTGGCAAGGTGGTGGGACAGTGAGTAATGTCAGTAAAATTTTAATCATACATGACTTATTGAAGGAGAGGTAAAATGGTTTCTTTCACGAGGAGTCATGCTTGACTTGTACCCTCGGTTTTTGAGGATAAAAAGAAACATGCATTCTTAAAGGAACAAAATTTGTTTAGATTCTCCAAGGACTATTGTCAAGTTTCTTCACTAAGGCAAATTTTTAAACAGCAGTTACTATGAGATTGAGGGAATTTGTCATTCTTGGGAAACAAATTAGAGACTTAAGAATAAAGGAATAAACAGTTCTTTTTGGAAAAACTGTTAATAGGGGATGTTTCCTAAGGTTTGATATTCAGTTCCACCTTATGTCAGATTACTATTGGTGACTTAAATGTAGGCTTTTGTAATGAAATAGGCTGTTTCAACTTCTAGGCAAATGCAAGGTAGATCAGAAGAGATTTTTAAAAACCAAAAAGCCACAGAAAAGATCACAAACAAGGCTGTGAATATTCAGAAAAATGATAGGTTCAGTATCGCTGTGTAAAGTGATGGGTTTATGGAAGAGTAATGAGCTATGGCAGTGAGAGGTGTAGAACTCAGGAAGGACACTGCACCATTGAGAGGGCAGGGGCAGCGTGCTGTTACGGCAGGAGCGGGCTGCCCTCTAAGCATCACTGGGAGGGGCACTGTGCCCAGTACTGTGGACAGCACCGGATGCACAGCCATGGGCAATGACTTTTGTTTGTTATCCTAGAGACTGAACCCAGGGCCTTCCACGTGCTAGGCAAGTGCAAGGGGATGGCGCTCTACCCTCAGTCCTTGGAGATGCTTGTTTGTTTTGTGTTACTGGGGATTAAACCCAGCGTGTGCTAGGCAAGTGCTTAGCCATTGAAGTATACCCCTAAGTGTAGCTTTAAGATTTTTGTTCTTTCTTTGTTTTGTGGTACTAGGGATTGAACCCAGGGCCTCTGCACTGAGCTACATCCCAGCCTTTCTTTCACTTTTTAAATTTTGAGACAAGGTCTTGATAAGTTGCTAAATTGCCCAGGCTGGCCTTGAGCTTGGACCCTCCACCCTCAGCCTACCAGGTAGCTGGGGTTATAGGTCTGCACCACTGTGCCTGGCCATACTTACATTTTAATCAAATTATCTGTGCATTTCTTTCTTTTCTTTTCTTTCTTTCTTTTTTTTTTGCAGAACTAGGGATTGAACTCAGGCCCTTGTGCTTGCCAGGCAAGCGCTTATTCTACTGAACTATCTCCCCGGCCCCTATCTGTGCATTTGTAGTGATCCCATTTATCAACTATATATAGAAGGGAGGAAATGTCCAGAGAACAGCGAATTTCTTAGACAGTGAAGTGCTTTCAGACCGGGGTGCCATCTTTAACATGCAAACTATGTTCTTCAAAAATGACAGCTGTTAGGAGTATTCAACCCAATATTCAGTTGGGAACAAGGACTCAGTCCTAAGATACTGCTAGCTCTAGGGTTGTCCCTCACCACCTTGAGTAAAAGAAAACTGTATAGCAAATTGGAAACTGAAGAGCTTTTGGTCTGAGCAGCGGCACCAGCCTGACATCTATGTGACTGAGAAGGTTTAAAAGGAAACCCTGTATGGTGGCTGCTTGGTGACATGCAATGGTGACTGCCCCCCACCCCCCCAGACTAGATCCTGTAGCACTTCTTTCACAGGCTGAATGTTGAACCGGGGAATCACTAGTCCTCTCAAGTAGGATGTGGCTAGTGTTCTTTGGGTGGTGGAGGAGGGCCATATAGTAGCCATGAAATAGAATTCCTCAACCTCTGGCTCCCCTGAACTGACTATAAATCCACTTGGGTTCTGACCTCCAACCCCCCAATCCCGTGGGATTTCTCCAGGCAAAGAATATCTAGTAGCCTGGCTTCTTCTTTTTTTTTTTTTTGGTGGAATCAGGGATTGAACTCAGGCCCTTGCACTTGCCAGGCAAGTGCTTATTCTACTGAGCTGTCTCCCCAGCCCTAGCCTGGTTTTCTTACCTTTACCGTAAGCTTGCAGTAGACAGATACCTGCAGGTACCACATCTCACCCTGTGCTGTAGAAGAATCCACCTTAAGGCCACACTGTCAGGGCTCTGGGCAGTCGGAGGGAATCTAGAATTCTTGTCCATACGTCAGACTGAGGCTTGGAATTTCCTTATGGGGCAGCTTTGGCTGTTACATCTTGAAATCCTCTCTCAAAATGTAGTGGGACCTAAAAAAAAAAAAAAAAAATGTAGTGGGGTATGGGGTTCATTAGTCCATGGAATTTTAGTAAAACTTTTTTTTTTTTAATGTATTTGGTACAGGGTCTCACTATGCAGCTTCGACTTGTAGTGAGCCTCCTGTTTTCAGCCTCTGCCAGCACTGGGATTATATGTGTGTGCCTAGACTTGGTTGCTGGCTCAGCACACCTGTGGGCAGGGGCGGGGTCAGCTGGCATGTGGTGCTAGGGATCAAACTTGGTCCCTGCAGTTGCTTAAGCAGGTGCTTAGTCTGCTGAGCTATCTTGCCCTTAAAAATCATCTTGTAGGGCTGGTGAGATGGCTCAGTGGTTTAAAGCATCTACTTAGAACAAGCTTAGCAAAGCACAGGGACCGCGGTTCAATCCCCCAGCACCACATGCCAGCCAGCTCCGCCCCCTGGTGGGCTGAGCTGG